GGAAAAAGAACAGTATGAGGAAATACATTATAAACTTAAAATTATTCACTTGTCTTAATTTCAAATTCAACTGCAGTCCACCTTCTGGAAAGGAGCTGTCTGTGATAAGGTCATCTTTAATTTACTATAAAGCATTCTGAACATGTGCCCTTTGAAACTTCACTGAATAAAGGCATAAAATCTTCATAAAAACTCAACATCCTTGGTAAGCACATAAGCTGTATCACATTTTCCAAGGGTGAAAAGAGAGCTGCATTGGCAAGAAACCAAAATTAACATCCTTTACTATTCTCTATGAATAATAAAAATAATTTTAATCCAGTGTGAAGAAAGATTCTTCATGTAAAAGGAATACATTAAAAACAATATATCTTTGCCTCAATTACCTACACTGGTAATTGACCTTGACTGAAAATCTTTCTTAACACCAAGACTTTTATATTTAGAAAATTTAGATTATTTAAGGATTCAAATTTTTAGATAAACCTTATTATATTCGCCGAGACAGAAAAAAGACACTCAAATCAAGGCACTTGATTTGAAACTCTGTCCGGTTTTGATTTTTCCATAGGTAGGCTTACTTAGAGGCAGATCTCTTATTTTGTTGGTTATATAAATTCCTCTCCCTGATTCTCTGCATTTCCTATAGATCTAATAAGGCAAAACTTTCTGATTTTTATAATCTATGAAAAACAAAGTGTATATTGTCAAGGGTGATTTGGGATTCAATTTTGACACCTGGAGATCAAAGATATCTACCTGCAAGTCACTACAGTCTTTGAGAGATGAAGGAACCACTTGAGGTGTCAGAAATTCAGCAAAAGCTAGAAATGTTAATGTATGTTTTATTGAGTGCCTAAGTTAGCACTTCACATAATCACAGTATTAGAGATTTGGGAGAAATCTTAGAGATCAACTAGACTTGTTCCCTTCACAGATAAAGAAATTTAGAAATTAGATATGAGCCCAGATATCCTGCATTATAATTACAAATATCAATAATCCATTT